GCCTGGCACAATATGGTTCATGGGGTCACGAAGAGTCGGACATGACTTAACGACTGAACAACAACATAAAGATCGATGTAAAATTTTGCTCAAGGTTCCTCTCCTTAGAGAGATGGGGCCCTTTTTGCTGAAGCGCTTCAATAGAAAGAATAAAAGGATTCCCCGACTTGGTGTGTTGATTGGACCTGTCACTTTTTTTGCGGCCAACAGTGGTCTGGACTAAATAAACCTCCTCTGATACCCGCTCAATTCCTCCGAGTCCATCTTCATACAGTGCCTGGAGGTCAAAAGGATTTCTTGGAGACATTGCCCTACTTCTACCTTGAAATTTCTCATTTCAGCACAAACGTAATTAAAAAGTAATAATTCTTAAATCCACCCGAAAGGATAAATGTAAAAGAGTTTGGGATAGTTTGTGAAGCGTTATTATGCCAAAAGTCCGGCAGCTGTGGCACAAGATGCTCCCTTCCCCATCAACGCAGCGCCCAACCAGCCCTGAAGCGGGCAACTGGGTTTGTGATACAACTCACGAATCAGCTAACGCAACAACAGCAGCCACGGCTGTCTCCGGTATCGATTGGTCTGGCCTGCTACTCTTGCCGCTTTAGGCACCATCTTTAGGAGGGGCGGCTGAAGGCGGCGAGACCTTTATTTCCTTGCCCGACGTTAGGAGGAGCAGCTCCGTTCAGCTGAAATCGAGCGATTGCTTTTGCCTGTAGCTGGCGCGGGCCATGAAAGATGGCGGAGTGTTTTGGCGGCGACGGCCGGATTTCTCGTCCCTCAGGATGGCTGGGGCAAACTTGGTGCCTGAGGCGAGTGGGCATGAATGAAGAGTGGCTGCTGCTGGAGGATGGGAGCGAGGTGAGGGGGCCAAGGACCTTTTTTCCCGACGAGGGCGTGAGGGACGAGGGAGGGACGGCGAAAGAGTGAGGGTGAGAAAGAGCCCCTTGCGCCCCCGATGGCTGTTTTAGGAAATACACCCGTGGGGTGCTCTGCTCCCCGGAACCTGCCAGCTTTTTTTAACTGAGTGGTCCGCATTGAGGATCATTATGTGAAAACCCACCTTGATGCCGTAAACGAATCCAAGTCTTCGAGGCCAGATGAATTACATTCTAGAACTGCTGGCGAGAATCTGGAAAAACTCTTGTGCAAGACTAACCTCTTTTTATGATAGTGACTAGTTTGGTGTAGTGTACTGAGGGAATACTGTAGATGAGTCTTTTTCAAACTTGGCAACTTCAAGATGTGTGGACTTGAACTCCCAGAATTCCTCAGCCAGCATGCTGGATGAGGAATTCTGGGAATTGAAGTCCACATATCTTGAAGTTGCCAAGTTTGAAAAACATTAGTGTAAATTTAGCGTCCTTGACCTCGGCAAAACATTTGATAAGGTCTCTCATAATTACAGTGACCATACACCCTTTATTATAAAGGACAGGACTTTATTTCAGAAAGCTGTCCTTTAGATTTATTTATATTCTTGGTTTTGCTCTTGAATTTTCCTTTGTAAAGCAAAGTTATAAACATAAAGAATTACATTTTTTATCCTTATGTATCTCTTTTAGATTTGCCCATTTTAGGTTTGTTCTTTATTTTTTGCAAGAAACTATGGTCGCTGTACTCATTGTATCCTTGTGGGCTGGATGGCACTACTGTCCAATGGATTTGCAGGTGGTGGGACAGCTGCATCCAAAGGGTGTTCGCAAATGGTTCTGCCTTATCCTGAAGGGAAATATGAAGTGGGGTTTCCCAGACTAATGCTGTCCTGTATCTTTATAAATGACCTAGAAGATGGAATAGTAGGGTGTTTATCACATGCATATTACATTAAGATAGGATTTGCTAATATCTTACAGGACAAAATCACAATTCAGAATGATCTTGACAAGTTTCACATTCAGCATGACAACAATAAGGTTGTTGCATATGGAAAAACAAATGCATATATACAGGAATGGGGAAACCTGGCTTAGTGGTGGTGTGTGAGAAGGATCTATAAGTCATAGTGGACCATTTATTTATTTTATTTATTTTCAGACTTGTATGCTGCCCATGTCCCCCAATGGGTGACTCTGGGCGGCTCACAATAATAAAAAAGAAGAAAAAACACAGGTCT